GTCAACCTTGCAAAGCAAATATAGCCTCTGTTTCCTTGGCCTCAGAGTCGCTCCACCATAGCAAAGAAACACCGAAATCCTCAACATTTTTCCCCGTGCTGAGACGAAAGGCTAAGGCCCTCAGTCGGTAGCAAGCGATACGAGAGCTGAGGGCTCCCGCGGCACTCTCCGTGCACGTGAGTTTGTGAGACCGGAGGACGGGCTCATGGGCAGAGACCTTGCCTGAACCAGAATTGCTTTTCCACCCTTGTGCTCGGTCCCCGCTTTCCCACCTGCCGGCGTCACGGACAGGGAGCTTCAAGAGCAGCCTCCAGCCTTTTCCATTCTCTATGTATTCTGGGGTTTTTCTTTAATGAATAGCGATGTCTTTGGAAGGATATAAAGCGTGGATTTCTTTTCTCCTAAAACATAAGAAGATACTTATTAGAGTATCAAACAGATCTTGAAGCCTAAGGTAACCCATGTGCAATACCTCTGCCTTTCAGAAGTCAGCAGAACACACGGATCTATCGCTGTGGCGCTCTGCAAATCCGCTTTCAAAATACCCCGCGTACAAAATAACTCGCAGAGACTTAAATACGTTAATAACTTAAGAACCTAAATAAGCTGATATTTGATGTGACCTACATTAATGGGGAGGCATTACATGGCAGATAAGCAGAAAGTTCTCATCTATTGTATAATACATGATTTATTCATACTACAAACATATTGAGAAAAGGATATGCTCTGGCATTCTGTCTACTTATTTTTCCCGCAGAAAAAAAAATAAAAATGATGTAAGAAGATCATGCTGGTGAGAAGATATTCATATCACAACAGCAACAGACTTAGACTGCCAGATACTTCTTTATGGTTGGAAAGATATAGAGAAAAGCGCATAGGTTGCACCACAGTGCACCCATAATTCTCACTACCAGCCTAAGAGCGGAAGCAGTTCATAGAAGAGGCTAATGGCTTTACTCTGACTGATATCATTGCATTAATAAAAATCATCAATAAAAGCATCAATTCCTGCTGTACTGTAAATGAGACAGTGGCTGAGTGTGCACTGCAGCTGCAAGATAAGGGACTAGAAAGATATCTAAATTTTTGGCTAATTCTAGATGTCAAGATAATTGGATTTTCCAAATTAAACCTTTCTGTAGTTAAAGAGGATTAAGGTTAGGGACTGTAGCGGGGAAAGCTACTGTCACTGTTATGAAGAATTTTTTGCTACAGTGCCATTTTTCTTCTTCTATGTCTGCTCTAAGCAGGCAAAATGGCAAGAGCTTCATAAAAATATTGAAGTAGTTCTATCATTTGCCATCAAAAGTTGGCACAGGAAAGCTTTGTTTCTTGTGCATCTACCTATTCATTTTATGAGCTCTTAACAGAATTTTAGTGGGTGTTGAAGGGACAATATACAATTGTTTAGGCTAAAGTTTAGGTTTTATCAAAAGGTCTGTGAAATGTAACATTACTAGATAGAGTAGAATGTAAGGATACTGGAGAGCCAAGGTGCTCAGAGAAGAGGAGTATGTGGCGTGGGGTCGAATACACGTTTAAACCCTTGATCGAGACAAAGTTTGTTATTTAGGAATGTCTTTTGGCTTTTTAATTGTCATGATAGCAAAGTACATCCCTCAAACCTTGGGAACGCTTGTGTTTCATGAAGGAATTAATTGGTATTTTAATAGAAGTGCTGACAATATAAATACTTCTTGAGACACTTTGTCTCCAGATGGTTTCTCTGCAGACTCTCTCTGATTCCCCACACTTCCAAAACAGGGATATAAACCTCCTGACATAGCAGAGCATGAGTCAGTCCCATAACTACAAAAAGAAATCTTCCCCATCATCAGATTACTCTGCAGCCTCTTCTCAAGCGAGTTCTTGCATCTTTGCTAAAGCAACAGGTTTTGTCCACTGCTGAGGTAAACCACCAAATTCAGTGGCCTCATGTCAATCATAGTCCTTACGTTATTTTACATTGCTAGAGGAGCTCTTTCTTACAGTTTAAGGTCATCTCAAGGACTTCACTTTTTCTAACTCTGCTGGAATTGAAGGCTGGAGCGTAGCACCATGTGATGAGATATCACTGCAGACCTCGCTTGCAACATATGCAAAAAAAAAAAAAAAAAAAAAATCTTTATCATCTTTATCAGTTTAGCAGCTACCCCCATAGTCATGAAAGAGCCTGACGCTTCTTCCACTCCGAGGCCAGAACAGCAACATCCTCCCTGGTGTATCTGAGAGGACATTGCAGAAAGGACCCTCTAGATGCAAAGACACCAAAACACATACAAGTGGGAAAAAACAATTGTCCTGTCCTCTCTGCATGGACTTTCAGGAAAGTCCATTGGAGCCCTTGCAATCCTCTCCACAGTGTCACTATATCTTGAGTAGCTGCACGGTGTACGGCACAACAGATGATGTTCTGTAGCATTCCAGTTTCCTGGACAGATTGCCAGATACTCATCTACGGGTATGGACTTCAGTGCATAAAGGCTTAAGCAGAAAAATCCTTAGGGATTTCATCGTATAAAGTTTTCGCCTCCAAAGTTTTTATGGGCTGAAGTTTTATATCCTTAAAGACTTTACCCCATAAAAATCCAAGAGGATAATAAAACAAATAGCATCTATGTCCAGGGTCAGTAGCTTGGGGAAAAAAAATGCTCTTGGGTAATAATAATACCTTCAGTAGCAGTATTGACCAGAAACTACAGATCTATTCTTTTCCCCGTTGGCTGACATTTTACCATTATTGCCCTCTGAGCTAGTCCCTATCTGCATGCTGTGCAGAGTAGCCATGGGTACATGGCAATGCAGAGGTATTATAGGCACGACTTTGAACCGTTCTTGAGGATGATAAAGCCAAAAGTGAACTTTGCAGGCAGAATACAGAGCTCGTCTAGTCCAGCCGCTCACGTTTTCATCTCGCTGCCTCGCTCTATGTACTTTAAATCTGAAGCGTATGGATACACCCAAAACCACATTCACATGCTCATATTAATCCACATTAGGAAATGGCTGCCAAACTATAGAAAATAAACAGAATGCCCAACATCTCACACAAAATCAGGCTGACCTAATTCTGTGCCTGTATTTACACATGAAATTTAGTAAAACTTGAACAAGTTGGCCTCTGCCTTTTTAAAAATGTACCTTGGAAAGCTAGATTGGTACCATTGTTTTGCTGCTGATCCTCTAAGGGCCCTGAATGACGAGACAATTAAAGTCCATAGAAATATGAAATCCTAAAATCACTTTCCTATAAATCAGTGCAGACCGGTAAGTATTCCTGCAGGGAGGAACGGGCACGGATCCGTTCATGGGCCCCCGAGCTCTTGGCAGGAGGACACACTTGCTATTTTCTGGTCTGATACCTCCAGATCGGTGGCATTAACCACGGATAACACGGCTGTGCCTGTGGAAAGCTGGAACTCCTCCTCACCAGGGGGGAACGTTATTACTGCCCCAGGTGGTCGTGATACTATTACACACATTTGAAGCTTTTTAATTTTTCAGGGCTAAATACAGGCCACTCCAGACTGCTTCCATTCCAGTAAATGCAGGATAATGGGTTGACTAATACAGTAATCTAAAACATAAAGAGATCCCCAGTGATACCCTTGACATCCAGGCAGAGTATTCAGTGTAAGAGCACTCAGGGTGCACGTACTGCAGCCTATCCCAATATCTGCTCAAAACAATTATAGCATTTCTATGGTATTTCTGCATACCCCATACCAATAAACAGGATGGAAATAAACTGGCATAAGACCGTACCAGAGGACCTCTTGTCTAAAGCCATTAAAGAGAAGGACAAGGATACTTAACTAATTGGCACTCTCAGCCTTCCATTCGGGGTTGGTGGGAGCAGTCATCAGCTAAACAAATGACTCACGGAGGCACACTATGTCTTGGATAATTTTACATAGGTGGAGGATAGACTGGAGAACAAAAGTGAGGACTTGTCAATAAAACACCAAGCTAGTCCCACAATGATACCTTCTGTGAATCACTGTAGTGTATAAGGTGATCCGGGAGATTCATACAACCCTGTTAAAAAATATACATCTTTTCTTCTCACGCTTTTCTGACCATCTCTATTAACTTTGTGTTAGCATTGTCACTATTAACCTTGTTTACGCTTTTGCCAAGCTACATTAATGAAGCCTTGCAGTTCCCCCAGTTTCCAGAAAGGACGGCCCACGTCAAGAAGACAAAACCTTTGTTAGCAACAGACGCGGCCAAAGCAGCGCCGAACGTGATCTTACCCAAACCCCAACCCAGGAGGGAGCGCAGCTCAACCTCCCTTGCACTGATCGATAAGAGGACCGAGCAAGGCTGTTTCCAGGCTGGTAGCTCCTCCTGGCAGCTCCAGCACCAGTTCATTGGGGTCCACTCAGTGTGAAATCCACCTCTCCGCGTCAGATCGGCGCAATGCATCATCTGAGTCATTTTTAAGGGATGACAAGGTTCATAAGCTTCGTGTTGCCCTCTGCGCAGGAGTGAATTTTACTCTTAATGCAAATGGTGTTTAAATGCAATATTTTAAGACTAATATTCCGTATAGGCACAGTGTCTGATTCGTGCCAACCCAAGAGGTAATACAAATGCTTAGTATTGTTTAACCAGCTCCCAAGGACTGAATAAAAGCCTCAGATAAAAGATGTGACCTTCAGAGAGCATGGAATCACTTTTTCTTTTCATCTAAAAGATAATTTATCTAATACTTTTCTCCTCATTGAAGACATAGGCTCGCTGCACTGAAAACTGTTTACAAATGTTCTTTCTCCATTAAATTGATTTTCTGAGTATAGTAGGCAGTGTTTTCTGGAACTAATTTAAATTCCCCTCTAATTAATATTCAAGACTAAAATATGTTATCTTTGCATGACTGTGCAATTATTAAAGGGAAAATATCATCTGTGAAAGTAATTATTTTTCTTTTTTTTTTTTTTTTAACTAGCCATTAACCAACATGAAATGTATCATTTCTTTGCCTTTTTCAGGCTATGATTGAAGAAGCCATTGCTAGAGAAGTATCTTTTTCAGTTATGTACACACCATGTGTGACAGAAGTCAAGGCTGACAAAATAAACAAGATAAAGGACTTGTTTGCTAAAAAGCACCCTGATTACGTGGAGCACATATATACAGGTAACAGCGGATTTCACATGCTCTTAAGCACTGTATACTGTTTGCGTGTGTGTGTCTGACTCAAAAAGAGTTTGAGAGAGTCTGGAGCTCGAGCTCCAGACATTTCTACACTTCTGCGGGGGAAAATTAACTTCTGAGGTTTGCTCTACGATTGTACATTATTTAGGTAATCAAATCAGTACTGAGGCGAAGTACAGACTTTACACTACAAATCCCCATAAAGATGATTTTTACCCATGGAGCCCCATGTTTCCATTGTTGAATTTCATTACTGCAACTCATCTTTTGTTCAAAGGTAGATTTGCCATGTATTGTGGTGACAGCGAGACCCAAGTTCATTCCCACCTCCGTGGATATCCATCGGTCACCGATGGTCATCCCCGCAGCAGAGCCTTTGCTTCCCAAAAACATCCTCCCTTCTACGAGCACTAATGGACTGATCACCACCTTTGAGAGCATCTCAGCTGCGGGGATGGGAATAGATAGCCAGGTTTCCTTTAGCCTGTTGAAGACAAGTAGGTTCCAGAGTGAACAAGGGCTTTGCAGAGCCCGTTGTCATCTCCTGGCAGAGTGAACTCAAATAGCATCTCCTGGAGTAAACAGATGTTTAAATTCTGATGACCACAGCCTTATTTCAAGAGGAATGGTCATGACATTTTGGCAAAAAGGGAGGCAGGGGGACAAAAGGCATTTCTTACTATCATTAACCTGGTGACTTGCAACATAGTCGACCCTGATAACGCTCGGCTTCGAGCTGATGATTGAGAAACATAAAGGGAAAAATACATTTCTCAAGTCAAATTCTGGAAAGCCTTTATCTTCATCACACAAACTAGATGTGCAGCTCACCGCTCACTGCTGCTTCCAGCAAGGTGGTCTGAAAGGCTGAGGTGCTGCCCACTCCCTGCAAGATTTACACCCAGGTCAGAGGTGATGGCTTAGTCCTTCCACCACCACTGCGCTCCAGCACTCTGCAGATAAATAAGGCTTCCAAAAGGATTACACATTGCTTCTTTTGGGAGGAAAAGAAAATCTATTCGAAAAGCATGAATAGGAATTAGGAGACCAAATGTTTACCACAAAACTCTGCAAATATTTAACACAAGTAAACTTGGGTTTTTTGGTTTTGTTTTGCTTTAGGAAACCAGTGTAAAACTAGATCATGTTTTGCAAGTTGCAGACTACCCATGTATTAGGTTTCTGGCAGTAGCTTTGGGGTTGTTTCAAGAGGGAGAATGAGGACTTGCCTGTCACGGAGGTTCTAAAATCCCTGTCTACCGTTTCCTTGCTGATGTGACTTTGTGGAGAATTTCCTGGGACAAAAGTGTTGGCATTTAAAGGAGCATAAAATAAAACTCCCTGAATCTGATTTTTAAAAAGATAAATTCATATTTCACATAACCCCCTCAATTTACAGCAAGGGTGAGACTTTCAGGAGCACATAAGCAGCAAAAGTGTGCAAGTGTTGCACCGAAACTCAAATTGTGTTCATAAATCACTGAATGACTCGGAAAGTGTCACCAGTCATTTTCTTACTCCTCCCAATAAGGAAAAGGAAGAAGGAGGGGGAAAGAAAAAAAAAAAAAAGAAGAGGTAAAAGATCCCAGTCCTACAGTACTTTAGCCACTTATAAAACAGATTGAATAGAGCCACTTCTGCCTTCAAATATGTTTGTCTACAGAAAAATCTATCGGTTAAAAGAATTGCTTCAATTTTACACAAGTTTCTCGGAGGGCAGGTTCTGGGATCACTGAAGTTTCTAGGAATTAAATGGGATCGATAGCCAAGAACAAACAATATGGGTATCGGGGTTTTGAGAGTGCAGTGGTGTGAGAGGTCTCACATCTCCCGACCTCCCTCCTTTCTGTCCTGGAAACCCTCTCAGACAGAGCAGATGCAGCTCCTTTTCCTAGACTTGATGCTGAGATAACTCACAACAGCGTTAGGTGAAGTCAGCCAAAGCAGCAGGGGTTTCTCAACTTATCTATTCAGATCTGGCCTAAAAAATCACACTGCCCACCAAAAAAACCATCACAAGCAACAAGTTTAGCTCATTGTCGGTGTGATACCACTGAGCATTCAACCTGCAGGTCTGTATCTCACATTTCACATCATAGGTGAAATTAAAAATATGAGCTAAGCCCCATTTTAACAGTGGGTGTGAAATACCAGACGTCTCATGAACATGTTATTTTAAATAACCTTCCTATTCTGCAACAATCATCTGTCCAATTTTAGCCCAAGTTCTGCTAGAGTGTAAGGACTGAATTAATTTCAAAGTTTTCCTTATTGCCAAGGAAAAGGAGCAGATACACATTTAAATCCAAGTGTGCAATGCAGTTTGTTGCAAAATTGAGAATCCGTTCAGAAGCAGAATATGCTGCAAGGGAAATATCAGGTCCACTCGCTTTGATTTATACAGGGGTAAGTCCGGAGAGCTCTGAGTGGGGTTCTCCATTTGTCACTGTGATCGCACAGCCTGGCATCTTAAAAGCAGAGCTCACTGAAAACAGAGCACGCCTTTGTGAGAAGTGACACTGACATTCAATCTAGGTTTATTTTTTGCAGGGGAAGGGGAGGGAGGAAAGGACTGGTCTGGCTCCCTAAGCAAAGGTGGTTTATACAATTGCTCTGAGCATCTGTCCTGGCCGAGGTCAGGGCAGACCGACCCGGCTGATACACTGGGAGTCTGGCAGCAGCAGGCACAAACTCTGGACAAGCCACAGCACAAGCTCTCCCATGCCGGCTGGGTGGATCAGCAAGAACAGGCAGGAAGCCTGGGATTACGGTGGTGGTGCTGGTGAAAGCACAAATCTGCAGGAAATCAAACCTCGCAAAGTCAGGGAACAACAAAACAGCTCCCTTTGCAGTTAAAAGATCGGGATGTTATGTTACTGAAGTGCTGAGTTATTAATGCTTTGGAGGAGCAGCATCAAAAAGTACATAAATGAAAAGAACGTGCTTCATCTTACGCATCAGCAAAATTTAAGCTGTTGATGCAAACGTTTGCAACGTCTGGAATTTCAACACCCAGTTATAGCTGGATGGGTTGGTTTGGTCGCCTTTGTTTTGGCAAGGTTTCTGGACTACTTGTCACTCCTTCTTAGACTTTGTGGTTTTTCCTCCAAAAAAAGTAACTTATCTTACAACCGAGAAGAAATGTGACAGTGGAAGTTATTTTCATTTCCCTATTCCAGATCCTCACGGATTTCACTTCTTGCCACAGACGGCTGGGTGGCCGTCCCTGCCTCCCCAGCGGTACTTACTGACTCTGGGTTTCAGAAACAAACGTATTGGAAAAATCTTGGAAAGGTGGTCAAGTAAAAAACTGCCGATCTTTTCAGGTACGCCAACTTGCTAAATAGCTGGGGTAGTTCAGGGGTCACCTCCATGATCCTTGCTAAAGGAGCGGGGCTGGGGAGCTTCTCGGGACCCATTTCTCTGTACTGGCAGCCCTGACTGTCCAGACAGCTCTCCTCATCCTCCTCTCTCCTCCAGTTTACCTGTCATCTTGCTAGATCCTCTGTGGAAAATGTATATGAATAAACATATTATACGTTTTTTTTATTTCATTTTCTAGACCAGAAAGCACCTTTCAGTCCTCTCACGAAAGAAGAAACAAAAAGATATTGGGATAACACTGGGAAAAAGATCGTGCCGGTAATGGATTTTATACGAAGCACCAAATTAACTGTGAGTATAAACTTCACTTTCTGGTGTGTAGCGTGTATGGCGGCAGAAGTTTGCGCGTCTGTGAATGACGTGTGCTTTTTGGTGGGCAATTCATTCTGCACATGCTCCCCCTGTGTCCAGAAATGCTCAGTGAATTGCCTTAGGGACAGAGTTCAGATGGGGTTTAGGTACTTTTTAAAAGTAGCCCTAATTATTTAACAGCGTACCCAGTTTATTTAAAATCACTTTGCATGCAATTTTCTCAAATCTTTATGGCCTATTATATTATGTCCCTACTTCACATAACCAGCAAAACTACTTGCTATATTTAATACCTGTAGTATACTACACATATCACCAGGATCTCCATCAAGAGTTAATAATTGGTACTTGAAGCATTTCTAGTGATTTAGATCCTGATCCCTATGTAGTGAAGTATGTGAAATAACCTTCAAATCTGTTACAACCATATTGAAGGTATATTAGTTAATTCTACTCCATACTTTCTGCAGTAATGTACACAGCTTTTTAGCACCATGGCTTTTGATTAGCACAAAAGGTCAAAAATCAAATTTGCATGTAGACTAGACTGTTTTAATGCAATTCTTAAATTATTCTCCTGAAAATAAGTGGAAGAAGCCTCTCCTCCCCAGATTGTAAATGCTAATGTTAACGCTTTTTCCCTAGCAATAACAGTTTTTCAGTTTTCTGTATGTTGAAGGAATCAGAGCCATTTCCTCGTCAGGGGTGTCTTAGCAAATCACAGGATTTATATTCTTAGGTTTTGATACCAGAGAGAAGGTTGACAAAAACTGCTACTTAGCAACCCCTAGCAAGGAAGAAACATTAACTAGATATTTGGGGAAGCTATATCTCCTTTATTCTCAGAGAGCAGCTGCTGAAACAACAGTAAGTGCTTGAACTCACATGCTTAGTGGGAGGTAAAGGTGCTTAGTGCTTCGCCAAAATGGGCGCTCATAAAGCTTCTGCATCGGTGGGAGGCAGGTGGAGCAGGCTGAGGGCAGACATCCCCGAGGAAACACACAGCCGCTTCTTTCCAGTTCTTTCCTGAAGCCATGTGCTATTGGCTTTGGATGACCAAAAGCCCGAGTTATTGATGTGCAGACTAATGGAAGTGGCATCTTTGGGAGAGTGAAGTATCTGTTACCGCTGGGTGCATTGCACTTCAAACATTTAAGAAGCTAGAAGTATAAACAGACAGTGGCTTGGGTACTGGATACAGAATAAAACCCTGGGTCTTTCTAAAAGCCCCAGTAACACTCCAGTTTTTAAAAAATTTCTTTGACCCCACAATTCTCTCTTTGGGTATAACATAGAGCTTTTAGAGGTAGGAGTCTTCTATTGCAGTTATTCAGTCTCTAAAGAGTATCAGGAAGAGAAAAGTTTTGAAATCGGCTATCTTTTGGATTCTCCATAACTACCCTATTCTGTAAATGAATTTGGAGGAACAGGACCACGTGGTCCACGCAGGGATATGCGGAATCTGGTATCCAGGGTATAGGGAAAAGAAAACAAACTCCTCATGTAAGAGACGAGAGCAGAGTGGTGCGTTAGGATTGCTCAAGCCAGTCCCAACTAGCTGTATGAATTTACACTGCTCCTACACAGTAATATTTTCTACCAGCTCTAGACCTCACCTCATACATTTAAATATTCTTGCTGAAACAGAGGAGGGCTCCCAAAAATACAGGGTGAAATCCCAGCACCACTGAAGTCAGCACCAAACTTGCCTTTTTTTTCGGGGAGGTCGGCATAGCGTCCCCGTGGTTCAGGCAAGGTCTACCCCAGTGCCACCTCCAGCAGCAACAAGAATGGGCTGACAGGTCTGAACCGTGGTCCTAGAGATTTATAACCAGCCACCGGGGGGGCAGTATGGGAGCTTTAATGGAGAAGAGGAAAGCCCCGAGGCAGAAGAAATTATCACTGAGTTAGAACAAACAGCTGCCCATTCTACATCCATTATCGGTGGAAACACGTTCACTTTCCCTTCAGTTTTCATAGCGTCGCATGATCCAGGCAAGACAAAACCTCTGACCCAAAGCGCAAATGACAAAGCCAGTTATACCTGATAATACAGATAGGCACAGAGCCAGAACTGCTCTGCTACTGGTGATTAAAATCTCTTTATGGGCCTGGCAGAGATTTGGCCACTTTTGCTTCCTTGAAAGTATTCCAAAATTTTCTTCAAGCTAGAAATATGATTCCGTTGTATTTGTGTCACACACAAACTAAATTAAAAACTTTTGCAAGACAAACTTCAGATACAGAGATACAAAGACTCTAGCTTTACCACCTCCTTTAAGAAGATAAAAGAATATATCTGTTTTTTAACAGAACAAACATTCCTTTCTGCCCTCTTCTCCATTTGCAGGTGAAAACATACAATCCAAAATGCTTGTCCTAATCAGAATTTTTTTGACAAAAACATCTCAGTGCTGAAGCGGAGCTTGATAAGCTATGGCAACACTTAGTCAATTTTGCCACCTCAGCTTTGCAGCTATACGACCTAGAGTTAATTATATGATTTATACACACACCATTGTTGGTAAGACATGAAGTTAAAGGTTAAAAAAGTGAAGCATTTTCTATCAGTCCCCCTTCTTCAGAAAGAACAGCCAGTCCCATTTAAATCAAGGGGACATTTGCCTATTGTAAAGCAAAAAGCATTTGAGAAAGAATGTCGCAGTCTGGTCCCCGCGCGGCATCATCTGCTGCTGGTAGGGAAACGCCATAAACCTCATCTACCCAGAAATACATACCGTGACACAAAGTTTATTTTATTTGCCTTAAAAAATACATATCGGTCAGACCTTTAGCTACTCGTATTCCGGTCAAGATTACCAGCGCTGACAAGTGGTTATTCTATCGAGTGGTTTCACTGGGGTAATTTCTGCTGCTTTGTACACACCAAGTTTGCCTTTCTCCTGCCAGAGTTCCATGTCATGGGCACATGATGATACTTAACAGGAGAAACAGTGGCCAGAGGGTCTTATTAGACTGCTCATCTTATAAAGGTGAACAAAACCTACCATATGACTCACAGCATGATACTTACATTTACAGATCTCGCTGTTTTGTTGTCTATTTTTTAAGTAGAGGGAAAGTGTTTACTACATACGGATTTCAGCATACACGTTTTTCTGGAGGATACCAAGGGCATTAAAGAAACATTATGATGGATTTTTTCCACTTGTCGTTGCAATACACTACAGAGCTGCTTGCAAGGCACAACTTCATTCAGATTTTGAGCTGAAAAACAGTGGTAAAGACTCTACGGTAGAAAAGAAGAACTACTGGGGAGCATTCCGGACTTTTGCAAAGTGGTGCTCTTAAAGCTGACAGTTAAACATGCCACAGTATTGGATATGACAAATCCTTCTTTAAATCCAGGCTGACCAGCCACTTCACTTTTCTTTTTCTTTAGCACTCAGCAATTAAACTTTATTTATAAATAGAAGTGGCATAAGGGATGACTCCTTTCTTGAGTATATAGAAAAGCAAAAAGTGGGGGTATCATCCCAAAATTCTCAATACAGAAAGGACACATGATTCACTCGTCTCACATGCTCTCCAGCTGCTTTTTGTGATGCAAGCCTGTCCTATCTTTGCTCTGGTTGATAGTTCTGGGTATTTAGCAGCAGCAAGTAAGCTCCACCCAGAACAGGCTGGTCTGCTTTTTGTAGGTGCTTTTTCATCCCAAGGTCAGAGGAATGAGGATGTGACAGGGCTGATCCTTGGGCATCAAGACCTTATTTCTCGCCTAGAAGGAAGGTTTTCAAAGACGCCTCTGGGGGTAAACAGCTTTTTGGGTTTGGATTGGTTTTTTTTTTTAGTTCAAAGGGAATTTGTGCAGCAAAAGGTTTTCTGGGGAAAGCTCTCTTTTGGGAGGCCCCCCACCTCAGGTGACATTGCCCATTATAAATAAAGGCGTCAAGAGAAAGTCCATCATTTGCTCGTTTTATACTTTTCTCTTTAAATTCTCCTTGGAATACCAGACAATAGGCGTGAGGCCCATCCAGAAAGTAACAGCATCATAATTTAATCATTTATTGTCTTAATATGTTACTGCATTTCTAACCGGGATGCAACTGCGACTCCTTATACTGCATTTGTTGGTTCCTTTGCTACCCGATTCCTCAAATGTGTGTCTCTTCTCTTTGTTAAAGGAATCAACTCTTTTCCACTGAAGTCTCCATTTAAGTTTGCTCTTTACTTAACCTTCACCGTGCCTACCTGAGCTGGTTTCATCTTCATCTGATTGCTTGGCCACTTTGTTATGTTTTTTACTGCAGCTTAGTAGCCCCTTGAATTCTGCTATAGTTCATGTAATTCTCATCATGTGGTTCAGCTCCCTGTGGAATTTTTTCTCCTGCCAGCAGCAGTTATTTACTTTCTCTTTCAGCATTTTTCATTGTCACTGGAACGCCACCTCTGACAATGTTCAACCTCCTCTAATCCCTTCAAAAAAAACCCCACTGTCGGTTATTTATTTATTTACTTCCAACCTCCTATAAACTTAAATAGCATTGCTATGTCCACAGAGTGCATGTTGGCACAAACGCCCAATTTGTTTCCCATCGCTACGTGGCATGCTCTCTTATTTTTCTGGAGAGTCAAGCAGAGGAAGAATTGTTTTCTTTTTGCCTTTACTTTCCTAATCATTGGAGAAGCCCCCAACAGGCACAGCATGATGAGGGAGGATTTTTTACCTGCTTTCTTAGCTGATGACTCAATATACTCATTTCTTAGTGCTTACACAAAAAGGTTTTGGGCGGATTTCAAGAATAGCAGGGAAAAACCTTTTGCTGCATCTAAAATGTTGTGAGACTATTTCATGTTGATAAGAGCTCTCGTTCTCTCTCATTAACTGATTGCTTCTCCTTATTTTAATGCACACAGCTCTACCTGGGGACACAGCTATCTGGCTTTCAAACACCCACGATCAGGTGGAGACGAGGCTCCATTTTGTTCCTTGCTTTAGTGCCATGCTGACTAGACTGTGTCACACATTATAGATCACAGAAATCTTATTTTCCTGCTGATGTCTCCTACCCATACTAGGTCAGGTCCTCAGAAAAGGACTCATCAAATGATAAAAACAGTTTTTAACAAAGCTGTCCTGCTCTCCCTTCTTAGAGGTGGGTCAACAGGAGTTCATGAGAAGGTAGGCCTGGAAGGGCTCTCCCAGCTTCTCTGGTCAAATCACCTGCTATTATACACCTTTGTGTCACCTAATATCTTATTCACAAATTGAGTAAAATCCATCTCAGAACTAGTTAGGTTTTCCGCCTTATCTGCTCGTGGCGAAACACACTGCAGACCTTCAACCTGAATTATAAGAAGCTAGATTGCCATCCCAGTCTTATTTGTACCTATTTATACACAATGGTCCTTCTGTTATCATTGTCTTTTATCTCTCCTTCCCTTTTCGGTTGTTTGCTCTCTTTGGAATTTAGGCCTGCATTATGTTTATTGAGAAGAATAATAAGCTCTTGGCATTTTCATTAATAGACTAATCAAACCACACTTCTCTCAAAAGAGGTATCTCCTACCATGCTGGCTTCTCTGCTCCACGATGCTTGGGTTTAAATTAACCTCTCCAAACACAGCTGAGTGGAGCTATCTGCAATACTCCAGAGAACTGCTGACCAGAGCTCCTTTTCCCTGCACAGTGCCTGATTCTCTCCTTCAGCTGATGGAAATACCAGTTCATTGGCTCAGCTCTTTCTTTTCCAGTTGTTTTCATATCTGGAGCTCCCAGGTTATAGCTGCATTCCTGCCATTGGTCTCCAGTGCATGGTCTTTCACTTCATGTTATTTTACAACTATATTAGGTTTTATATTAAAAGGGGTAAAATTAACTGTACCAGAATTAGTTGTATTTTTCTGGAGTTAAAAGAAAACTAAGCTTTTTTCCATTATTATTCTTGTAAGTTGTATAGAAAGCAAGAACAGCATTGTTATTAAATTCTTAGACTTGGTACAAGAACTATGTTGATAGTCATTTTGATAACACTTGGTGCTTGCCTAGCGCAAATTTCTGCAAAACCAAGATCAAGATCAAAACAAGTGATCGAGATTCTTTGCCAAGAGAAGTTCATTTTAAAAACAAGACACCATTTATTGAAAAATAAATGTCATTCAAAACTTTCCTTTTACCCCGTTCAATATACGATTGGACCTAGAATCACCTATCTGGAAGCGTATGTAAACGGCAGCATCAGTGTGCCACCACATGTAAGTGCTAGAACAAAGGTCTGCTAAAAATACTGGAAGTGGTTTTGAAAATTGATGCCAATTCTTGGAATTTCAGGCACTTAAATACATTCAAAACCCTGATTAGATGAATGGAAATTTCACTCGGAAGGTCTGAGCATTCAGATATGCAATGGCTACATCTCGTCAGGAATCTAGGCCAAATTGCTTTTGAAAATCTCAGTAGGGTGCTTATTTGCATTTTTGGCACCAGAATACTTTTGAAAATATGGTGGTAAGGCTGGCATCCATCAAGTACTTCAGCAGGTGCTGAGATTTTATGCAAGCACTTGGCTGAGTTTCTGTATTCGCACGCTTAAAATTTACCACGTGCCTAGCTGCCTGGAGGATCAGAGACCACCTCTGCAGGTTTTAGTCCCTCAAGGTTATATATTTGAAAACTATGGATTTGCCTAGTCTGCAAACAAGCCATAAGCCGACACACTGCACGGTTTCCTCAACCACTTCACTGAAAATTTAAAAGCAATCCATAAAAGTCAGGTAATATTTAACAGAGGGGATTATGGAAAAGCCACTTCCAAATGAGAAAATTGCATTCCTGTTTGTTATCTGCTGTCTCCCCTTCACATATATTACGACTGCATATTTATTTTTCTAGTACTACTAGAGAGATTGTGGCAAGAAAGTCTCTTTTTTTCCCTCTATAAAGATTGTCAGCAGCATTATCTTAAAGGTGCTGAATGCCATAGTGCTTATAGTATCACCAGCACAAATATATATGATGATAAGCCTCAAGGCACAGGACTCAAAGGATAAGTGCGTTTCCTGCAACTCTCCTCTAACCTACTTGCTTTTGCTGAGAAAACAGGACAATCTCTGCGCGTGTTCACGTGGGATAGAGAAGTTGCATTACGCCAGCTTCCTCGGCCGTTTGCAGAGAGTCGAGGAACAGTCCCAAGTGATTAATCAAGCGATGGCTGAGCTAGCAACCATTCCCTACCTGCAGGACATCAGTCAGCAGGATGCCGAACTGGTAAGTATTTATTTCTAATACTTGTTTTGGCCTTTAGAGGCAGGGAGCCAGGGAGGGAAGGGCTGGGGCAGAGCACTGCGCTGCAATTTGCTCTGGAAGTCATTTTTCGTGTGCGTGGACCTGAAGTAGTTTTAAAATCCTACTGCAGTGCCTTGTCAGAGGAGGTGCTAATCACCTGCAAGGATGACTTTTATAGAACCAGCATGACTCATCTGTAGGCATATTTTTAAAACCTCTTCTTTTCCCCCAAACCTCCCCAAATCAGTCTGGGAAAATGATTGCAATTATTCAGATCGTGCTACTTTAAGATATCTAACACCAGAAGCCACCTGCAGCAAAACAGGCCGAATCTAGTTAAAGCAGAGGAGAGGGGGGGAAAAGAGAAAAAAGATTTTCTTTCCTGGCTCCAGCTACCACTTGCTCCCTGCCTCTGAATAAACCAGTCTACCTGCTATGCTTTTGTTTTCCCTTTGTAAAATGAGGGCAGTGATGCTAGCAGGGCTGTTGCAAGACTAGAGTCATTAATAGCTTGATAGTATATCAATAAGCTGCAATCAGAAAGCACCGTATGGTTATTCTTCCACGAGGCTGTCAGGTTTTCTGATGGGGGAGGGAGCTCACGTACATGCAAATTTCAAGTATTTCATTCTAGGAAAAAAAGAAAAAAAAAAAAAAAGTCCCTCTCCAGTTCCTGCATTTAAATGCAGTCCAGTTTTGATGATCCAACTTCAGTTCACTAAAAACTCCTGGTTTTCCCAAAGCCAGTCCCGTTGACATTTGTTTGCAGTCCTGCAAAGCTCCTAAGCTCTGTAGAATTAAAGCTTCACAGCAGCTTGCTTTAGGGAAGACGAGCAGCGGCCTGCAACTGCAGGAGGTGGTTGCCAGACTTTGAAGTCTGGGCTCGAGATAAGGGAAACGACATTGCAAAGAAACTGTGTTATTAAAAGACATTCTCCTTTTGATGCAAGTTTGCTAGTATTAAACTTCACCAGGACCACATTTCAAAGCTGACTAAAGGGTCTTGAGTTATTGGTATGCGTTTCAGTGATAGGTTTTTCTCTTGGGTACAATATTTTCAGTACATCACACATTAGGCACAGGCTATTACGCTGTTGACTGTATCTTGTCATGTAGTAATCATAAGCCTGACCTCCCTGGAAAGCTTTTTGGGGGAGGCTCTAGGCCACCCAAGGCAAAGGCCTTCAGTCTCTTAGGGGTAGGACTGGGCAGAACAAGGGTCTGTGCTGGGAGATTTAAGTGACAGATTGTAAATCTTTCAACAAAACACGTATGCTTTGTTTACTGAGCCCAAGATGAAAATGTTTTTTAAAAGAATAAAGGCAGAAAATCTCTACCAGCTACCCTGTCCAGAGCATTAAAATGTATTAATTCGGCATTCATTTCTTTTTCTTTGTCCTGTCATCCTGCTGTAAAATATATCTTTAGTCTGTGTGCACAAATGGAGGCTCAGATGCTTTGCAGCTAGAATATTTTAGTAAACTTCAGGCACCACGGTGTTAAGGCACAGGACTGCAAGCAAGAACTTGCAGAGTGACTTCACTGGGGACTGATTAATGGGATTTACCTTTCCCGGTGGCACCAGCCCACATGGCACAGGCTCCTTTTATGCCCTTTCCCTACCACATCACAACTGCATCAAGCACAGAACATTGCTGCCCATCGTTGGGTCTGCACGCCCAAACCATCCAGGGAGCGAGCGAAAGATCCTCGCTTGCTCAGCCTACCTGTCACCCTCCTCATTTCACCGGGGTCCAGGCGGGATGACACATTTGCAGGACTGGGCTTGTACTGGTGTGATTGAGCGGCTCTCAATGGATGCTACAGAGGCAGCCCCACCATGTCCGTGGGGTCAGAACCGCAGCACCCATGCTGACTTCACGTGCTTCTCGCTCTTCAGCAACTTTTCTAAGAGATATCTAAATTTTTCCGTGAAGAAAACTGAGCTGGCCAAATTCTAATCTCACATGTACTAATAAAAATTTAAAGTAATTCCTCTGAGGTCATTCCGACTTTACATTGGTAAAACTGAAATAAGACTTTATGACCGAGCAAGGCAGTTAAATTGTGTGAGTTAGAAAATGCTAAAGATGCCAAATGTTTATTATCACATACAGTAGAAGTTGTATAAAGTTTAAAACACACTGAATTTATAATAGGGCAATTTGCACTGATACAGGAAGGATCCCAAAGGCATTTCAGTTATAAACTCTTCTGTGTAAATGTCTTCCTGTAACTAAATAGATGGAGTCCTAATCTATGGCACAGAGAACTTCAACTGAGGCCTTTTTAGATCAGTATTTATTCACAGACCCTGGGAAAATAAAGACTTCCATTAGCTTGAAGAGTTGAATATAAGTGGGGAAAAACCCTGAAGAAAATCTTTCCAAGGTTTACGATTTCAATGTCACCATATTTGTACATCATAAATCAAGATGAAAGCTTGTTAAAAAGGCAGAAATCTCTTTCAATTTAAAATCAAATGAGGACAAGATATTTTTAAAAATGCAGCATTTTTCCTTGGAGGGGATTTTCCAAAAAAGATCAGCTTTGGGAGAATTACTGTGGTTTGCCAACTGCCCACTCTTGTAGCATGCACATTTTGTCTGCCAATAGAGCTGGTGAAAAACTTTGGGTGATAAAAATTAAAACCAGAGCACATATGCTGGGCACTTTTCACTGGTGTGTATCGATATCAATGATATTTTAATTGGAAAGGTTTCTTGTTTTAACTTCTTGCCCAAAGCAGTGAAACCTCCAGCCTGGTTGGGCTGTCGGAGCGGCCCCTTAGGGGTGACAGACTGATGTCCTGGTCCCTGCCCCGCTGGGTGCTCTTCGACCAGTTCTTCAGACAAAATCACTCCAAGAAAAGCGATGGAGAAATCCTTCCCTTCCCCTGACCGGTTCCTCCTCTGCCTGGTTTGACACAGGATCTGTGCTTTGCCCATTCTGCCCTTAATACCCTTAATCTCTGGGCTGTGTCTATTCTGGATTCATAGAAGGAGATTATCTGTCATAGAAATATTGTGATGGAAAATTTCTGACAGGTTCTGACTCCTTTTGCATTAAAGTCAGAGGCAGAAATTTGCAGTTTTGTTTTTCATGAATACTGATGCATGACAAAAAAAAAAAAAAAAAAAAAAATTTTTTCATCAAATGTTTGGCCCAATAAGATTCAACTTAATGGCTGCACAAGCACAGAGAAAGCAGGCTGGAACCGACCACAGCAAATTTATTTAGAGATTCAAAAGAAGATTCCTCCATCATTTATCCATTGTTGGGACACGGACAAAAAGTTTTAACTTCAAAAACCTGAATGCAAAGGTAAACTTGAGGAAGTACAGATCTGCTCCTCGAATCTCAAGGTGGCATTTTTATATCTTGCGCAGATGAGCCTAAACACTGATGTTTTAAGTTTCATCAGCTTATGTACTTATATTAAACGGCTGCCCATCTAGGTACAGAAAGAAGAGACAACACGAATGCTTACTCTTACACTGTCCAATTACTCGTAATGAGTAACAAATTTGGGAAGAGGCATCAAAACCTATTGTTTGCATTCACTTTCACCAACTAAACATCCTGGAACAGACCTAATAGAGCACAGCAACATCACAGATACTAAATACAAGTTTCTCCCAGTTTGTTCCTAAATGCCAATGCCAAGGGCTGCTCACGGAAGGACACCCTGGATCCGACCCTTGTCTCTCCGTTACTGAATTAAAAGCAACTGAAACATTTTGAAGTGTTTGGGAAGGGCGCACAGCGAGGCAATGCTGTGACTAACCTGGAAGGGTCTGGAGCGAGGCAATAGTACAACTAACCTGAATTTTAGCCTTCCCTCTAACAGTAAGGACTGATTAGCAAGTATTTTCTTACAGCTTCTTTTTATAGTTTACACTAGAAATTGTCAGCCTTGGTTTTATGCTCCGTTATGCTGAATGATGGGGAGAAGGGAGGGTTTGCCAAAGAAAAAGGATAGTAAAAGCAGGGAAAATGAGCTAGATACTTCCAGCTACAGTAAAAGCATCTCAGCTTTAGTGTTGTCCTCTTGTGAGGTTTTACATGCTGCTTTAAATTATGATACATTAGCCTTGGGAGAAACTACTAAAAAGCATTCATGTACAACACAGAATATCCCAGACAGCTAAAGAAAGAAATATGGAGCCTTTATTCTTTACAACCCAAGTCTTCCTTTACTAAGTATAAACATTTACTGCATTAAAACGTATAGGCTTAAATACAAATTTTCCAGCGGATTTTTTCCCATTGTTAAGTATTTTATATCCACAATAATACAGTGTAATGGCTGAAGCAAAGATGAGGTGGCAGTGCTCATTGTGTGAAAGATGAGTAATAAAATCATCAGCGTACAAATGATTTTTTAATTAGGTTTTAATCTGTGTATTTAGAGAAGTTATTTCTGTGTGAATTCCACACTGATAATTTTTATCTTGGTGCCACAGCTGCAGTCGCTAATGGCAGATGCCATGGACACCCTTGAAGGAAGAAGTGATAAAGGACGTGTGTGGAATAAAATTCAGAAGGTAAAAACCTGCAGCAAAGGGCAGGAGAGTATACTGTTCCTTGGGGAGTAAATGTCCACCTGAGTCATATCTGTTCAAAAGGTAGAAAAGAAAGTAGGTGCCATTTGAAATCTGACTGCGTGCCTTGAACTCCGTTAGTGCTTAGGCACTAACCACAAATATGTATTTATTATTTGCTTTAGCCCCTATGGTTGATCTTTGTCCATGTTAATAGTCTCATGTGGTTATCTAATACAAAAAAAAAAACCAAACAGGAAAACAAACAAACAAAAAAACCAACACCCGACCCCCCCCCCCCCAAATAGCTTATTTTTGGCTGATAGTTATACTTCTTTTCCATCTTTGTCATATGAGATTTTGTGCTAATTGGGTGTGGAGGGGAGCTGTTGGGGAATAAAATTCAGCCCAACAAATTAGGTCCCTTAGTGGAGCTCAGATAAGGCTTTGGTGATGTGAGAGGTAAAAGACATGTAAATGCCTTTCTGGAGTCTCTGCACAGCAACCGGTCAATTTAATTCTTAAAGGATTTGTGAACTGCAGAGAGTCTTGTGTTGGTTCTCTGTACAGATGAATCTGACCCAATGTAATGACTAATCGGTCAGACTGGGATGTAATAGGAGTATCTTACATTTTTACAAAGTCTTTCCAGCCAGAGCAAATCACAGCTCTGGGCATTCAACACCATCGACATTCAGCCACTTATGAACAAAAGGATAGCAACGCAGCACCAGGAAGGGAAAATGGTACTAATGGTTCAAAGGATTGGTCTTATCCTGCGTCTTACGGCTCCGTCAGATCCCAGGCGGACGGACGCTCGCTCTGGGTTGTGGCTGCGGTGGGAGGCAGGGGAACAGAGGGGTTGAAATTCTGCACTGGTGGGACTTGAAATTCGCCCTCGTCGGGATTTAGGGTTTACAGACAGATCTCAGGGAAGATACTGAAAACCCAAACCCTGGCTGCACTGAGTCAGTGTAACCAGGATAAGCAAGTAAGACAGAGATGTCTGACAGAAATCACAGGGGTGGCGGGTCAAGGTATTTTCAAAGTCCGTATTTCCAAGTGATTTGAATTAAAATTTCAGAAGGCATCTCCTCCGAGAGAAAATCCGAGTAGGTATATTGCCTCGGTTAGCTGTCAGATCAGTGCTCTTAATAAAGTTCTCCAAGTACAGAATGTTTTCAGAAAGGAACCAAACCCTAGATGCCCAAAATTATAGGCAGGCTGGGTTTCATCTCTTTCAAACGCTCGTGAGGCAAAACAAAGGATAAATATTCATAACCGCTTTTACATTGCGCCAGGGTAGTCTCTAAAACTCTCACACCTGCCTACAGATCATATGAGAATCTTTTGCAACACAAACACTACGTATGATATGAAATATATATATTTATACAATTACATATGTATTTCCTGCCATACATAATAAACATTGATTACTAGATGAATGCAAAGAGTCAATGACATATTTACAAATAACCTAGTCCCTGTACTTCTCAAGCACTTATCCTTCCCATTTTCAGACAATAGGCTTCAATATCAGTTTTCCAAAGTTTTTCCCAAAGTCAGGATTTTAATCCACAATTAGGTGTTTGAATAGCCAGCCCGATTTTCACAACTCTGAACAACCACAGTTCAGAGGCTGTTGAGAAAGGATCGCAGCTGTAAGTTAGACCAAGTACACAGGTATCTAAATATTTATTAAAGGCTCATTAAAAGTTTGTTGGTGGTACCAAAAAGATTCCCACATATTTCAACAGACAGTGGCTAATATTTCATTGTAAAGCACAGTATTTTCTTTCGGTGCATTCATATATATGTATGTACACCCTTTATATTTCTCTGGATACTTTTACTTTCAGTATAATCTTAACGGAAACCAAGCTAACATTTAAAATTGGACTGGTGTCCCACATTATGCCACATGAATCTGTGCATAATTCAATATTTGGGAACAAAATTTACTGAATCCATGAAAATCTGCTCTCCGCAATTGTAAAATTTTTGTGCTTCAAAACTCGTTTGCATTCTGAACACAGTTTTGCATTTCATTTTTGACAACTCAGATAACTGATTTGAGGCATCTTGTTCCAAGCAGAACCCACTGTTTGTTTCATAATACAAAAATATTTTTCTATATTATATCAGAACAAAGAAATGAAAAGCATCATCAAATATTTTTCTACTTTACTTTTTTCCAAAACTTCATTTTAGCAATATTCAACATGTTCTTAGGAAAAAATTCTCTTTAAAGAGAGGAGACAGGAAAACAGTCAGGGAGCTTGGGGTTTTTTTGTTGGTTTGGGTTGTGTTTTTTTAAATCAGCTCTAATTAAGAATGTTACGCTAGATTAAAGAACTCTAACACATTACTAGGAAGGAGGATTAAATCTGATGATTAAAAATTGATGTGGTGTGGATTACCGCACGTCACTTGTGCTAGAACAGTTTCAGAAAACTCAGTATTTCTCAGTTCGCTCATCACATGATGCTGATTGTAGGAGCCTACAAAGAACCTTCACACCGATCTAGTTACAAGGTAGTTATTTGTATTTTTGCTATTGAATTCATTTACATATATTGGAAAGCAAAAAAGAACATAAAAGAGTTTATACAATCAGCTATAAACGCAAAACTCTGGAAAGCTGAACAGCTATGCTACCACCAATGAAGTTTGGCTCTTGCAATAGAAACAGCTGTTGCACCTAATGAAAGCACTCAAAATTTTTCTCTAATGCAGCAGAATTATAGCAGTGCCTATTTTCCAAATGGTTAAAGGGTCTGTCAGAATTGCCATTACAAACCACTGTTTTCAGAGTTTTATATTCTAGAGTCAGCCATAAAAAATTCATTCAGGCTGAGATCTGACACAGAAGGGCACAAAGCCTGACACCCAAACACTTCTCCTTTTGTCACAGTGGAGGGCTTATCAAATTAGTTTGAAATTAATCTAGGCAATTTTGAATTTACAGGACTGACAAAGTAGTAATATATGTTTAGCTTCAAGTGGTTTGGGTGCTGCGCTGCTCATCCAATTCACTGACAAATTTATGTTTTTAAGCCATCTAATTTATCAAATGGGCTAATTATTTTTGGAAGCTTTAAATACAAAGAAGTGAAAAATGACCTTGTAATTAGCTGGAGAAAAGAGAACATTACTGCACAGAAGATGCCTTTCTCAGTATTACCGGGCTATGGACTTTCCAGCCACAAGGGCATCCTAGATTATGTTGGGAGATTAAGAACCATCCTCATACAGAGGCTTTACCCATGTACTAGATATCCCTGGAAAATGCCTTGGAGGCAGGAAAAATGGGCTGGGTCAGTCTCCCAATATCCCTATTCTCCAGGATTTTACCAACACTTTTCCTTGCAGTCCCCTGGCTGAAATGTGAGCTTTGTATTAGGGATTTGGGGATACAGACACCTGGGTCTAAGACCTTTCAAGCAAGTAACGGAGGGACCGAGTCCCAGTCTACTTCAGGACCATGGGCATTCCTAAAAAAATTTTTTACCACCTTCCTTTTTTTTTTTTCTTTAGTTACTGGCTCTGTCCAAATTGTGTTATAGGTTGAGTTGCAAAGGTACTTAAATATCACACCGTCAGCATTACCTGAGAATGGATTTCTCTGAAGCCACCCTTATGAATGAAAGGCCCACCTAAAGCAGTCTATAGGAAATGTTACGGGAAAGGGCATCAAACCCTCTCTTTTAAAGAGGCTTAAGTCTTCACCAGTGAACAGAGGTAGAAATTTATTTTTGCTTACTGGATTTTAAAGTGCAAATTCTCCGCTTAATTCAAATTACATTTGAATTTATTATTTTAACAAGACTGATTTAGCCCAGTTGTTTAAGCAATGACCTCCGATGCCCAAGGGTCAGCAGCGATGAACAGAAAACTTCCAAGAGAGATTGAGGAGAACTAATCTGGTAATTCAGCTCGGCCCCACAAAGCTCGGTCCAGCCACTGGGTCTTAAGCAGATGGGGACAGCCAGGTCTGGCCGTTATCGACTAGGCGCTTTGCCGACAGACTCCCATGCAATGGAGGTGACGGCCAACGTGAACACGAATGCTGGGACTCGTGGTAGAGCTTGGCCCCGAGTAACTCAAGGAACCAGGTCCCTGCGTGGCCGTTGCAGGACTTCACAGCAGCTACAGACAGGCAGAGGGGTTTAGGGTATCTCAGATACATAAAGCGGCAGGGAGGGTCCCCATTTCCTCTCTAGGGCCTTTGCTTCCCGGCAGTCTCGTAAGATAAAAAAAATAAAGAAATGAAAAGAGATTACTTTCCTATCGCAGAAGAGTAACTTCATTAATAAAGCCCCACAATATTGTTACAGTGAGAGGCATTTCATTAAATAAATAGATACTTTAGAGCCTATCAGCCAGAAACTTTTGACATCCAAAGAGAGGAAGAGCCATATAAGTGCAAGTGCCAGTATGGCTCTTCTTCCCCTATGAAGTTAATAATGTAGTTCTACTTTTCTCCTCCATTTAGCCCCTAGGCTTTCATAGCAGTTTCATAGGATCCTCTTAACATCATCTGAACAGCCAAAGGAGAGACAGGAGTTGGCAAATAAACACTTCCCTACACTTCCACATGTGAGACACTTCATAAAACCTTCACATCTGAGTTTACCTCAAGGGCATCACGTACTTTGCAATTTAGATAAGTTATTATGCCCATCATTTGCTGAGCTCAGTGGAATGCCTGTTTCATAAATCTGAAAGCAGAGCAAACATGGATGAGTGAATAAAAGAACAGATGTAACTTACATAAGGATAAGCATATAACAAAAGCTGCACTAATATATGTGAATATGAAATGAAGTAAAATTAGCCTGACATATTATATAATCTTTTAGCCAGGCACACAGATTTTCAGTAGTTGACCTCTACCTACTACATCTCTGCCTTCTGCAACAGCAGGGGAACACTATCTGATGAACTGTGCTCTTCCACTGACATTATCTCTTAATTGAAAATCAAGCCATGGAAAAGGG